ACACTCCATGCATTTATATGGTTTCTCCCCTGTGTGGAGCCTTTTATGGGAAGTAAGTGCACTCCTAGTACGAAAGCTCTTTCCACACTCCATGCATTTATATGGTTTCTCCCCTGTGTGGAGCCTTTTATGGGAAGTAAGTGCACTCCTAGTACGAAAGCTCTTTCCACACTCTGTGCAATTATATGGCTTCTTCCCTGTGTGGAACCTTTTATGGGAAGTAAGATTACCGCTTTGAGAAAAGCTCTTTCCACACTCCATGCATTTATATGGTTTCTCCCCTGTGTGGAGCCTTTTATGGGAAGTAAGATTACCGCTTTGAGAAAAGCTCTTTCCACCCTCCATGCATTTATATGGTTTCTCCCCTGTGTGGAGCCTTTTATGGGAAGTAAGATTACCGCTTTGAGAAAAGCTCTTTCCACCCTCCATGCATTTATATGGTTTCTCCCCTGTGTGGAGCCTTTTATGGGAATTAAGATGACCGCCGTTAGTAAAGCTCTTTCCACACTCCATGCATTTATATGGTTTCTCCCCTGTGTGGATCCTTTTATGGGAAGTAAGATTATTGCTTTGAGTAAAGCTCTTTCCACACTCTGTGCATTTATATGGTTTGTCTCCTATGTGGATCCTGTTGTGGCAATTCAGATGATCCTTCTGAGTAAAGCTCTTTCCACACTCCATGCATTTATATGGTTTCTCCCCTGTGTGGATCCTTTTATGGGAAGTAAGATTATTGCTTTGAGTAAAGCTCTTTCCACACTCTGTGCATTTATATGGTTTGTCTCCTATGTGGATCCTGTTGTGGCAATTCAGATGATCCTTCTGAGTAAAGCTCTTTCCACACTCCATGCATTTATATGGTTTCTCCCCTGTGTGGAGCCTTTTATGAGACGTAAGGGACCCATTTTCACAGGAAAGAGTGAAAGTGTGATTTTTTCCATTTTCTCTGGAGATATAATCTTCTCCTTTGATTTGGGTTGGAGAGTGTTCATTTTCCACTAATTTGTCTTTTAATAGTCTTACACTTTTTCCCATGTACCTTTCCTTTATTTTTCCTGGTTGGGCAAGAAAGCCTTGCGTCTCAGCATCCATGGAAGATGGGTTTTCCTGATTCCAATGTTTTGAGTTGTTTCTCTCATGCTTCTCTAGTTGCATCTCTAGTTTCTTGTCCATTCTTCCTCCATGCCTGATCACTTCGATTTTTTCACTGGAATCTTTATTCTTATAGCCATGGTCACCTTCAAAGGAAAAGAGAAATGAAAATGATAGCAAGGTTGGGGGAAAGATCAAACTGTAGGAATGGCATGTTTGCATCCTTACAATGGCATGGTATAGAAATGATAATTTCTATATTCATAACCCATAAAAACGTTGAAAATATCTACAACATCCGGTTACTTTAGAATTATCATTCTATAGTCAAACCTTACCCGGAGTCAGTGTTGAGTTCAGCAAAAATCCGGGGAAACATCCAACGAGGCATTAGGAGAAAACCTAACATTTTTTGGAGGAGTGGGGGGTCAATCACAGGAAAGACCAGTGAGAACTGAATCAATTTTGAAAATTTACCTATTCTTCCTACCCAAACTACCTTCCATTTGCTATTCATTTTTCTCTTGCCAAAATCACATGGTTGCAGAGAAAAAAATTCTAGTGCTCTTCTATTAACTGTAAACAGCACGTTTGCAATGGCAAAACAGCACCATTTTGCCCTTCACCCCAAGGCTCAGGATAGAAATGAAAAGGAAGACACGTCATTAACCCAACAGCCTGAATAAATGAGAATCCTTCATAGGACAGATAGGGAAGCATCTGGGCGCAAAAAGCTGAAATCAGTGTGATGGAGTTGAGCCTCTCCTCAAGCCAAGGAGTGAGTTTCTCACTGATACCTTTAAATAGAAATTGAAAAATTCACCAGATAAGAAATGCATGTAAGCAGACAGCCACTGACGTCCTTCCTTCCTCAGAGCAGGAGAAGGCCAGATCTTTTCCTTCTCCCTCCCAAGAGTGGACATCTGGTTGGCGATTTTTTAAATAAGATATAGCTGATGGCATCTAACTACAAAATGTCTTCCCAAACTCTCTGGTGGGGGAGAAGCAAACCCTTACCCATAGAGACCACGTTGTGATAATTTTCCAGTATGACTTCCCAATGCAGCGCTTTCTGGTGAGGATCCAGCTGAGACCGCTCCTCCTTGGAGAAATACACAGCCACCTCCTCGAAGGACACAAGACCCTCCTGAAGAAAGAAAAAAAAAGAACAGAACAGGCCCGTAGGATTTGCAAGATCTGTCCTATTCTCCACAAATTCCCAAAGCAAAGATATGCACCAAGTTAAATGGCTGGGCTTTGTGGGATTCCAGGGTTTAGGTGAGAAAATGGAAAGAGCCAAAACTTTTGACTGAAGAAATATTTGAGGCAGGGCTGTTCAACTTGATTGCTTCTGCAGGACTTTCAGTGCCATTCAGTGATAGCAACCCCAATTTCCTTCTGGATCAATCCATCAATCAGTCAATCCATGCAGGCACCTTCAAAAACCTCTCAACATCTTGAGAGGACCAACT